CTCTCTCTCTCTATCCCTCTCTCTCTCTCTATCCCTCTCTCTCTCTCCCTCTCCTCTCTCTCTCTCTCCCTCTCCTCTCTCTCTCTCTCCCTCTCCTCTCTCTCTCCATCTCCCTCTCTCTCCCTGTCTCTCTTCTCTCTCTCCCCCGCTCTCTTTCTCTCCGTCTCATCTCTCTCCCTCTCTCTCTCTCTCCCCCTGTGTCTCTCCTTTCTCTCTCCCCCCATCTCTCTCTCTCACTCTCTCCCTCTTCCAACCAACTAATCGATAATGAGAATAGTTGCCAACTATTCTCATAATCTATTATTATCGGAGAGCCCATTCACACTGGATCCATTGCAAAACATTTTTCAACGAATGCTAATGGAAGGGCACCGAAAAATGAATGGGTGTGAAAGCGGCTAGTTCACACCACTCTGTTCCATTGCTATATATTGCGTTGCGCTGAAGGAAAAGAACATGCACAATATTTTTTCAGCGCAATGTAATGCAGCTGATCTGGTGTGAACTAGCTCCATTCACACCCATTCATTTTTCGGTGCCCTTCCGTTACATCTGTTGAAAAACATATTGCAATGCAACAGATTGGAAGGAAATCGGAAGGTACAATTGCAAGTCAACCCCCCATTGACTTGCGATTTCCTTCTGATTTTGGTGTGACTGGGTTCTAAGTCCTTGTCAAAACGTGAGTCAAACATGCACAAAAGTGCACGTTCACTAAATGTGTACCCATCGCGGAACGCTCTTGCTGAGTAAATGCTTTGTTTCCCCACACGCTTGCATGCGTGAGAGCGCACATGTGAGAAAAAGGTCCTGATCGCATGTCGCAAAATATGCTACATGTACTACTTTCCTGCTTTTGGCTCACATCCAGAAATCCATTGAAATCAACGTGGACGCACGCCCCAAACACGTGCAGGAAGCATTGTTTGCCTGATAAAGGGACCCTGTCTTGCCCTGAAACATTGTTTTGCTTTCTGATTATGTGAACATGTGCCAATAAAAGACATGCTTGCATCACTATTGGAGTGCTGGCGATCCTTCTTGATTTTCATTGTCTCCAAATGTGGGAAACAAACGCACACGAACACACAGGAATGTGCGTCACCACCATGTGCATTCCTGCGACCCTATGGTGTGAATGAGGGCTTAGTTTCCCATTGTATTGTAAGCCAAAGGTGGCCAAGACATTGCATGTAACCCCTTAATGACGCAAGGTACAACAAACCTTAAAGAGGAACTCCAGAATTTTTCAAATGTTAACCCTTGCAGTTCGGCTATCCCAGCACTACAAGGGTTAGCTGCTCATATTAGTCTAGGGGTACAAAAAAAGAAAATATACTCGCCCGATCCTCTGTCATTCCTGGCTGCTAGACCGGTCCCCACAGCCTCTTCTCCTCTAGACTTCGGAGGTCTAAGGGCCCGTGAGTCATAAGGTCTAATGCTGGCCCATTCACCATGAGGAAACCAGGAGATATACCATAGCCAGAGCGGAGGGGGAGAGAGGTGAAGGATGGCTGCTGCAGGACCGAGGATAAGGTGAGTATTTCTTCTTTATTCCGTTCCCTAGACCAAAATGAGTAGTTAAACCTTTTTTTTTTTCCAATCTTACCTAAAATACACAGACACTATCCTAGATCGGGCTCTGATTTAGCTATATCCTTATAGCATATATACAGTATTTTTACTGTATACATATGGGGGGGCGGGGTTAGTCCCCATTCACACTACACAGGATGTGGGGTTGCGCAACAACGCGCATTTGCGCACATTCTTTGCCATGTTTGCTGCTTGTTGCTCACTGATTTAAATGAGTGCTGCACATGGGACAAAGTAGCAAATTTAGCATATTCAGCTGGGAGTGTCCCTCTGTCTTTTTTCTTTTCTGCACATCTGTGGGTGTTTGATGTGTGTCCACATGTGGGGAAAAACATGCGTTTTACCGCTTGCATTTGGGGTACCGCTGCAGTGGTCTAAGGATCCTTGAGACATCTTGTTCTATACACAGTGTATAGGACATGAGGATGCTGAGGGACATACCATTGCTGCAGTGGAGGGAGAAACATGTAGGGGGGAGTGCTGTATCAGCCGGCCACCTCCGAGAATCGGGTGAATATAACTTTTTTTTAACCTAGAAAAAAAACAACCCCACTATATGAGACCGGCAAAAGCAGAATAATTCTCAGCTGTTCCAGGGCAGATCAGCATCGCAGATTGCATGTGCAGGAGAACCGATCTGCCCTGGAACAGCTGAAATGTCACTTCTATCCGAGTTTGTGACTCCGATCTCACATTCCACAAGGTCAGATAGAAGTGACATTAAGGACCGATCAGCTGTTCCAGGGCAGATCGGTTCTCCTCCACATACGATCTGCTATGCCGATCTGCCTTGAAACAGCTGACAAAGCATTAGAATTCTTCACCTTTTGCCGGTCACATATTCCACCGCCGAAAAAGTGGGCGCGATTACGTTAAAATGTGTGACTGGTCACACATTCCAACCCAGTCACAATCTTTGATAGAACACCGGCATTGCATTGCATTATGAGTGGGATGAAACTATAGAAATACATATTTAGTTTTGGTTTTTGACCATAGATACCTTTTAATTTCTGGTTGACAAACCAGTATCAGTTGAAAAAGTGAGAGAAACCGGAAGGCCACAACAAAGTGAAGAACCATGAAACGGGAAAAGACAAATATATCTAAGAGAGACATTGACGAATGTGCAGAAAATATGTTTCAAGAACAATTTGTAGGAAGAACACAAATCGTCCTTCTAAAGAAAATACAAATCTTGTACTGTTTTGTCAGTTTGCTGGGAAGGCCGTTTACTCTTCTATAGACGATAGGTGCTCTTCAGGTTCTGGATACCTATGTAACATACACACAGGCCCGGCGCTACCGCAAGGCAAGCGGCCGCCTGAGGGCTCTGTAGGGTGAGGACGGAAAAAATCCCCACCGGACCAGCGCTGACTCGCCACTGCTCTCCCACGCCGAAGGTAAGTGAAGAAATTTTTCTTTTTTTTTTTAAAACTACGCAGAGCCCCAAAAACAAAGCTGAAAGGAACAAAAAAGTGGATGGTGTGCGGAGGAGGGGGAATTGAGGAAGAGGGGAAGGGGACAGCAGCCAAAAACGTAAAATACACTATGTAGCTTACATGCTGATAAAGAGCAGGCCCATCGCTACAGGGGGTCGGGGGGGGGGGGGCGCAAAAATGCAACTTTGCCTGTGTAGGTGAAAATCCTAGCGCCGGCCCTGCATACACAGTGCGATGGCTCATCTGAGGAGAGGTTGTGGGATTTGTCCAGAGGTTTGTACCAAGGTGTCTGGTCAGTCATTCACCAAAGAGACCTTTCCGGGTAATAAAATCCTAAACAGAAGTCTTGCAAGCAGCTAATGAGAACTGGATTCTTATAGATTTGTGTCTCATAGTTGATAATTGACTTGTTAACTGAATTATCTCATGCCTGAATTTGCTACAGAATGATGTGGAAACCTACAAAGGGATGTTTAATGGGTTCATTGACATCACAGACAGCTGGTAGGGCCGAGCACTATTTTTCCATCCCTGTCACCAAGCCGGTCCCTATACACCTAGGATTCCATCACGTATGCACAGCTTGTTCTATCATTAGCA